ATCATTGGCATCTTGGCCGCTGACATTTTGAAGTATCATGAAATTTCCGTCATTCCTTTTGCTTTCTTGTGTGTCATTGCAGGCAGCAGTGCGCCTGTCTGACTCAACAAAACTAATGAGACCTAGCCTGCAATGCCCAACATCAAACATGGCAGTTGCATCTTGAAAAGCGATGCGGGCAACAGCTGGGCACACAATTCACCTTTCGCAGAGTAGATGTTGTTGTTCATCCGAAAGGCTTTTTTTGTGTTGGATCGGGCAGGCCGATGCGGACAACCCTTTGCATTTCACGACATGATGCTGTCCGATCAGGCCGCTTTGAAGGGGTTCTGCTGCGTCATTCATTGTAAACATCTAAAGGCACCACGAAGCGCAGGCATTTATGCACTGTGATGGTACCAACCTGTACGTGGAATATAATATATATATATATATTATACATATGTGGGCACGTGGATTTTACGCAGGTGCAGTGCGATTTCATCCATACCTGTGACACCTGTGTGTGCATGCAAGAAGGTACCCTTCATATACGTGCTGCCCTTTTGACTTTGCTTTCATGGGAGTGCGAGTTGCTGGTCTTGATCTAGCGAATGGAGCTACGTCCAAAGACTGGCTCAACGCCAATCACTTCATGTTGGCTTCCCGTTGGCACCCAGCCAGCAGATTGACACAAAATGAATGCCCCGTGACACGTTCCACACTACCCTCACTGCCTCACTTCCTCTTCTTCTTCTTTTTCCGCACTGATGTTGCAAGCATGCATTTCAGCGGGAAGTTCTTATGTTTGGACTTGCTTGGATCCCCTGCTAAAAGCGATTAACTTTTACTGGGATGAATGGAAACCCAACCACTAAACCAACCAAAAAGATCTAAAAGCTGAGGAACCGGATGGCTTGAAAACTCGGCAGGCATGCGTCGCGCTGCGCAGCGGATGATGGGCACAGCCCTGGAGCTGCGTGAGGCGGATGCTCTGCAGGCCTTGCGCTTGGCCTTGGCCCGTTTGCAAGGCGCAGGCGGGGTTTGGCGCAAAGCGTCCATTGGCTGAAAGGATGTATTTAAATGTGTATATATATATATGTGTGTGTGTGTATATCGCGACACAAAGATAAAAGATATCCAACCAAATTTATCATATAGAAGACGTAGAGGTTGGGGAGTTAGACGGGCCTATCACTACTGGCCACATTTATATATATATATATATATTTGCGGGCGAACACGCAAATGGAAGAAAGAGTGCCTGGTTGGCTTTCAAGGGCACCGATCAGTACTGGACATATTGGCTCATTTTTTCCAGCGGGCGAAAATTGCAAATGGAAGAACGGATCCCTGGAATAAAGACGTTGGGAGCACAGTGGCAACCTCGCAGAAAATAAAGAAGGATTCGCCCGGCACAGTGGCAACCCAAAGAGTCAGCTTCGCCCGCTGGTCAATGAAGAGCATCTTTCTTTCGGCACGAATGGCTCCAGTGCCCTTGTCGGTTCCTGTCACCTTTGAATTGGGCGGTTGGCAATGTGCCGCAACCTGCTTTTGAAACATCAGGTGGGAGCTAGTGCCTGCAAGCCATGAGCATGAGCTTCGTGGCATTTGGAACGAGCTCTCAGCATTTGGCGCATCGCGCTACTTGGGACCGCCTGGAGTCGCTCGGCGCGCGCAGTCCATGCGCTTCTAGGGCCGTCACGAAAGCTTCAGCCTCGGCTTGCTCAGCTGTTGCCGCGAAAGAGGTTTACAAAAAGAGGGGCCTGAGGATGGCGACGGGCTTCACGACATTTTGAGCCGAGTGCAGTAGGGTGTGTGTTCGTCATGCCTAAAGGACCGCAAAAAGCGCACAAGCAAAGCTACTTGTACGCAGGAGCACAGCCCAGTTAATTGGGCGTCCCTGAAACACAGAACGACTGTTGTAAAACGCCTCAGCTTGGAGAAGCGGGCTGGCCCTTGCGGTGACAACAGGCATGATCGCAGGGTGGATCCAGATCATGTGATGATCTGGATTCAGCACAGACTCTCATTCAAGTGTTTTCTGGCGCCGCAAGTGTCACCAGAGCATCCAGACCTAGATTTCTGGTCACCCGAGGCCCCAGGCAGGCCAGATTTGCCTCCTGGCGCGGGACAGGCGCGGAGGGCGCGAAGCAGCCGCAGATGCTTGGAACCCCCGCCATGCCGTGGGCGTGCAAGGCTGCTCCCCAAAACTTGGGAAACACACATATTTGCTCAGCACCAAGATCCAGGAGCCAGATTGCCGTTTTCCTCCCCCTCCATGGCATTTGTGGCGAAACGTCAAACCGTGCTGGATTTGTTCTCCAGACGTTTTCTCCATTGCAGCAGCTGGACAATTTGCATAAATCATGGGGAGGGGGGGGCAGGGCAACCAACAAATCGAACATTTTTCTTGGTTGCTCCCAGCAGTCCCTTTAGTTTCTAAAGTTTTTAGGTTTCAGGTTGTTTCCGAACCCACCAACGAGCAGGGCATCTGAGGTCAGCCCAGTTTTGGTTCCCCCTGTGACTGCAGCCGCGTTGCATTGCCCGCCATGAGCTGCGGGTCTTCACGCTTCGATACAGGTCGCAAAATGGCACCGGCCTCTGCAAGCCGGGAACTCGGCAGGAATTTGTATTTGTGTGGCCGCCGTGGAATGCCTACCTTACATTTGGTCAAGAATATTTGTTATTTGTTTTTTTTGGTTTTAAAAGGAATCTGCCACCACTGAAAAAAAAAATATTTTTTTCCATCGGGGGTTAAGCAAATGGAAGATACCAGACAACAAATTGAGTTGAACAATTAAGCACTGCAGTTTTTTTGAGAACCAACGTTCCCTAATGCGGGTTGTGTGGCCATCTCGGCGTGGGAAACCCAAAAAAAAGGTGTTCCACACAGACTTATGCATCCCTATGTCAGCCACACATTTGAAGCCATACACTCTCACCAGTGGGTCCGACTTCCACAATCCATAGGCTTGCATCCAGCACTCCGGGCGGCATTCTTTTCCGCCTTCCCTCTGTCAAATGCCCTAAATTTCATGAGGTAATTTCCTGGCCAAGCAGTTGTTCCTCAGCTTTCATGCGCTGCACTCCTTCCGGCATTTGTTGTCAGTCTGATTTTTGAGCGCAAACCATGATTGACACACCGAACCCACTATTTATGAGTCTACGTTGCGACCTGTCGCTGGTTAGGTTGTAATGTTTTCTGGCACTGGTTTCTGCCACAACCACTTTGGACTTACACCTGCATATCTCCAGATGAATGACACAACTACTCTCTGGTGCATTTTGCTTGGATGTTAGGACTTTAACTTTTTTGCCAACTAATGGGTTTTCCATTAAACCACGAAGAGTTAAACTTTTAGCAGGGCAGCAGATTTCGCAACCAAGTACTTTTTTTGTGGATAGTATTGACGATTCTTTTCGACTCTTTTCGACTTGCCCTCTTTTTGGCTCTAGCCTGACCTTGCCGACGCTCTCTTCTTTTACGGCTCGGGGGATGAAGTTCGCCTGAAATTTTCAGGTTGACTCCTCACGGCCTTCCGGACCTCTCCAACATTTGGCGTCTCGGCCAGCGGCCCAGCGGGCGAGGTGCCGATCGAATCGATCCTGCGTGAGGTATGCTCAGTTCTTCAGTGGCTCCCTTTTTCCCTTTTTTTTTTGGTGGCTGCTCCACTAAAATGGTCTTCCCAAAAAAGGGTTCTCTTTTTTTCCAGGGTCACTGCACAACTGAGTATGTAAGTGGTGTTGTTTCGCCTGGTACGGGTGACGGCCAAAGGATCCTGGAAAGATAAAGTTTGGAGCTGATTCTATGTTTGTGTGTTTGGTTGTTTACTTTGATGGAGGTAAGAGCATGCGCTGGGTACATGTTTTCATTACAACATGTTTCCTTGGGCCTTAGGTTGATTTGAAGTGAAATGAACAGTGAGGGGGTGGGATTTGCAGAAAGGGCACAACACGATTCGGAGTCCCGACCAATTCTACCGTTCTTGAAAATCCAATGCCTGTTTTTTTTGTCATCCAGTGACCGTCACTTTGTTGGCAAGGCTGTTTATGTGGTGACATGTGATGGGTGGCCAACTACTCCGTCATCCACTCTCGGTCAGGGGGCGCTTGCTGGCGGGTCCATCCTTTGAACCCAGGCTACTTGCTGAAGATGCACTTGGCAACTGCGAGTACGCACAAAGATTAGCCATTGTCATGAAGCCAGGTCATTGGCATGGCGGTGAATTTGACGGCTGGCTGTAGAGCTTGCACTGCGCACTTGACCTTGGCGGTGGTGCGCATGTGTGTTTCTAAAAGGCTGAAGGGGTCGACATACTTGGTTGGAGTATTTGCATTGTTGGCAAATGTGAAGACGGGCCGCAACACCTGACATGGTGTTGAAAAAAGAACATGCATGTGAACATGTCGGTCCCTGCTTGTTGACATTAGACTAAAGGATGTCGCAATGGTCGATGCTCAATAAAACACAATCACTTTACCAAACCGCAAGGTGCTGGATGTGGATGAGTTTGTCCAGACCCTAGTAACGCTCAAAGTATCTTTTCACACCTCAATCGCAGATTGAGGCACATCAACAGATTTTGGAGCCACGGAACCATCTCTCCCCTCAGTCCCAGAGTGCTACTAATAGATGTTGAGTTGGTGAAGAATAAGTTCGTTGTTGCCAGGGGCTGGGCAAATGCATGCGTGCTTTGGACAAACCAACTTAGCAGTGGGGGAAGACAAGCAAAGACCGCAAAGATTCCAGCGAACCACCAAGTGAGCATGTCGTGTTTCTTGAAATGTCATCCTTTAGTTCCCGAACTTTGCGGGTGTCGCGGGGAGCGACCTTCTGTGTGTATTTTCTATCCAGGCTTTTTGGGGAGACCCCCCGCGGGTCCAGGGAGTCCGGCCTCGAAGCTGACCAGGTGCGCAGCCGGAGGAGCTGGAGAACGGCCAGGTCTTGGTGCCCCGGCTGCGGGCCTTCGGGGCCTTGGGTTTTGGCGGAAGAACGGATCCCGGAAAGACTTGGTGGTTCCAAAAGGGGGGATGAGTTGGAAATGACCCCGCGAAAAACCCGGCCAACCCAGTTTGTTTTCTCTTTTTTTTTTCAAAAAAATGGTAAAGGGTTCATGAGTGGGAAACTAGGTCCCCCAGCTAGGTGCCACCCCCTTTTTTGGGGTTTGGGATTCCCCTAGCAAAATAGACTACAGAAAAAAGTTGGTACCCTTATTCTAAGCTCTCTACTGGAGGGCCTAGGAAATGACGATAAGACATGCGGGTCCTGTGGTTTCCTTTATTTGGGAATCCCCAAAAGGTTCATGTTCAACACCCGGAAGGTCATTCCCTACTGAGCACGAGCAAGAAGATTTGGAGGCTTATCCTTCTGGTGGTTCCCAGCAATCGGTACTTAACCCACGAAAAAATAGTCACTTTTAGCAGGGGGTTGAAAACGGACAACCCAGTTCTATGTTGCTTCTTTGTTTGGCTTTAACTTTGATGTGATGGAGGTGAGAGCGGCTGTGTTAGGTTGATTAGAAATGGAGTGAAAAGTGATGGGGTGGGATTTGCGGACAAAGGGCGCAAAACGAATTGAAGATCCCGCTTGCTATTCCCGAAATTCTGGGGTTATGTTGTGCAGAAAAAAATGGCGGTGTTTTTGCCACCAGCCGCCCGGCAACGCCATTTGGAACGACATGGCAACAATCAAGTTGACCAAGTTTGAGATGGTTTCACGAGAAAACAGGTACGAAACAACCCATGTGGTGGGGTCTTTAACTTTGAAACTATTTGTGTCTATCGGCTAAGGTTTTAATTCCGTTTGGAATGCAGTCATTCCGGGATCCTTAGCATTTGGGCGTCAACGACAGATTGTTCTCACACGATGCGTTGCGGCCGTGAATGACAAGTTGCAACAGCAGTTATCGAGTGATGTCGCGAACTAACAGGGGTTGTTTGCCTTTTGACCCGACATACTGCGGAATTTCGAGAAGTGTTGCCCGTGTTGGGAAGCGCATTCGCGCGATGTCAAAATCATGCCCTTTTTTGGTGAATCACATGTACGGGCTGATTTCGAGCTGATTT